CATTGTTTTAGATGTATGTGCATCTCTCTGTATGTGGCTACACAGCACAATGTCATACTTAGGTTATTCTTCTGACATATACAGAGTGCATATAGATGTTTAGGTACAATATACATGCTACATGATATACACCTGAATAAGCCATTAAATAAATAGCACTTTCCTTATTGCTTTACTGTGTTATTTGTATGCCTTCGATTATATTATCCCTGTTGGGTTAACTGAAACTCTCTGATCATTTTAGTATTTAAAATTAATCCAAACATCTGCAAGCACATATTGGAATGCATCTGTAAATAACTACAGCAATCTTTCTTTAAGAAAAAAAGAAAAAAAAGAAAAAAAAATAATCTATATTGTAATATAATATGTATTTCAAATGCAGCAGGGGTGGTGAAAAGTAGACAATGTCCTGAATACCAGTTAATAAGTTTGCCAGCTAGGACTGTAAAGATCTATCAGTGACATCAAATACTGTGCTGATGGAGCCAATACACAGGGTGTAAAATTGTAGTGCCAAAGGGTATGAAATAGAACCAAAAATTTGCAGCTCTAAACATTCTATTCATATCAGTTTGTTTCCAACAAATGGCATGACTGAATTAGTTATCCTATACATGCTCATGCTAAAAGATGAAATGCAAAAATGCCCAATTATCAGAATTGCAAAATTTAGTATTTTGCTCTCTATGTCTATAGAAATAGAGAAGTTGACAGCCTACAGGTGATCTATGCCTGATAAAAAGGGAGAAACTCACTTTTAATTCTCTGAAAATCTGAACGTCATGTATGACTTAGTTAAACTTCCCACTGGGAGTGGTTGTGTGTCACAGGAGTGCAGTTAATGGACCAGAAAAGACAACCATTGTCAAACTCAACACACATCTGTTCGTAAGCTTTAGTTAACAAAAAGTAATATAGACCACTTCAACCTGCTCCCAGAAGAAAGTGCAGTGGTATTTGCATGGGTAAATAAATAAAAGACTAAAGGAAGATATATATATATATATGTAAAGGATACTGCTTCAGTTCCTTCTGATCAGTCTTATACATCCTTAAGAAGAAAGTATCAGTTTCAACATTAACACTGCTGGAGCTAGTAACATGCCCTTGGAGCAGTTTAACTTGGCATGGGGATTTTTCGAAAGGAAAGAAAGCCTGAGAGTAAGACAAGCTTGTAAAACATGTTATGAAAAGAACCTAGGAACCACGTGGAGGAGAATTAGATTTTGGAATCTCAAATATAAAATGGAATAGAGGTGCATAAGATGCTTAAGTGGGCAAGTGTAATGCAGTTTATAAATGGTTTAACGTAATACTACATGACTATCCATACTATGTATGTGGTAGCATGATGATGTCCAGATACTCAAATTTACTGATGGTGCTGATCAGGAAAAAAAGACCAAAAAATCCTTTTGCTTTGATGTTTGTATTCCATACAGACAAACTGAGTGCACTTAAAGAGTTTCATTCACTTCTTACATACACAAAGGTGACGAGCCAAGATGTTTTTAAGATTTTCTTACAGAAGAAGTAAGGAAATATAATAATCAATACAACCAAAAAATAAGAAAGCGAAGTTGTACATGAGTGAAGAAGGTCATTAACTGCCTCAGAACAATGGTGTGGGCATTCTCACAAAACTGCTGTATCTCTGGAGGCCGCTTATTGTTCAGCTTATTTAGATCCAGATCTTCAGACCCTGGGAACTGCTCAGATCTGCACGTTTATCCTGTGAACAATGATTGACTGATCTGCAGTTTAAATTCTAGGAAGTGCGTTCTGCTGTGGTAGGATGGAGCCCCTCGACACCTACTCCGGGACCTCTAGATCAGGCATTTCTCACATAATTTTTTGGTTCAGAAGCAATAAACTGTCATACACTTTTGCATTGGGAAAGCCAAATTATTACAGTGAGTTTCACCGTCTTATAACTGTTCAGTGGCTGACAGTGACTGGGCCTATTCCGCAAAGCTTTGTTCAGACAATCCAGTGGCTCCCGTCTGGCTATCTCCTCTCATTTTCTGATCCTCTTCATATGGATTCTAATCTTGTATTATTGCAGTTAATGAGAATGATGCCTGGCCTCTGAAAAGCCAGCTTTTCATGTAAGGAATGTTAATGGGACTGAGCTGTTTGTCTGCCCTCAGAATGACGCTTTCTATCTTACTTTTCCTGAAAACAATTGCAGTATTCTATCATTTGTACTTAAAAAAAAGTAGTGCTGTGTTAGATTGTACCTTTGGGTTTTGCATCGTTCTTCTTCTGAAAGCTATCATGTGCGCTTGTGTTCATAAATAATATATCCACTTGTGCATATAATTACAATTTGTGTGTGTGCATGGTTTTAATGCAAACACATATACATAAAGGATACAACTTAATTTGATCCCCTCTGTACTTGCAACACAGACAAATTCTTAATATTTTATAGTGCATATTCCGTTAAATAAATAACAAAATTGATCTGTGCTACAACATGTGTATACGTACACAATTTATAATGCCTGTAGTAACATTTTAAAGCCTGTTCACACATCAAAATACAGGTTGTTTATTTCTACCTTAAAACAATCTGAGGGTGTAGCTATTCCTATTCTGTAAACAGTGGTGACATCTGCTTTCAAAGAAGCTTAACTTCATTAAAATATAAGTTTCCCATTGTAAAATCAATACTAATATACCATAAATCCCCCTGATGAACTCTGGCTTCCTTACATGCTCTCTCTCATTTTGTGTGTTAGGGGCACAGCACTACTCTAAATATCAGAAGATAATAATATGGCAAGATATAGATATAGATATATATTTAAATGTTAAAACATTAGTTAGGTCAACTTGAGTAATGAATATATTTCAAATATATGCTTCTTTCTATAAACAAATATATTTAATTTTCTTTGTAAAGTGGGTGCCTTGCAAGTTCTATATGTCTACTAAACTCATAAACCAATCCTGGGCATCTTTATCTCAAAATGCACTTGTGACATATAGGTGAAGCTTTAACTTTTTTGTTTTTTTTTAACTAAACTTGCACTTGAAGTAGACTTACAATATAATTTACAAGCTTACTTTTAGGTAGACATTTTAAACAATTCATACAAAAGAAAGATTTGTATGTCAAGAGTATTTGTTTTAGTGACAAGAAAGCTAGGTATACTCTATTCATTTCTCAAGCAGACCTTTATGAATCACTTTAAAAGGACATTACAGCTGAAGACTGAAGAGCAATATTTATCAACATTAAATAAAACATTTGGTGAAGTATGTATAAATATTTCTTCATATGAACATAACACAAAATTAAATAGTTCAGATACACAGACACCATTTAATATATTTCCACTGTTGTCAAAATCATCTGTAAACACCATCTCACACTGAATACAAAAGCAGCTTTTACATCAGTTCTGTGTTCACAACACTGATGCCCCTTTATAAAATAAATTTGTTTTATTTTCAGCAAAAAAAAAAAAAAAAAAAAAAAGTGTAAGCAATAAAAAAAGTTTTGGTCAGTTCAAAGACAATACAAAATTATCTTTCAACATGTAAATAAATCAGATTTAGAACAGTTTAAAGTACAATCCTTTCCCTGGGGGACCTCTGACTTCTATAAATCACACAGTTCAGTGCAGACCACATCACAAATGCCAGGAAATACTGGTCATGTTTAAGCTAGAAATATGAAAGCCCTTTAAAAATTTTCTTTATTAAAAATTACCAGGTTACAAATGGCAATATCCACATTTTCTGAAACACCAAGTAACATGGCAATAAACAGAATTAGGTATACTTCTACTTAAAAGAGATTCTGGAAAAGAAACACTTTAAAATGAGTGTCCTTCACATGCAAAAACAAATTATTTCTTTTACACACAGCTTTCACATCTGAAGATCACCTGGGTTGAGCATGAAATGGGGCTGCTGATCATGTCTGCACCCGTCTGACCACTGAGCCTTTGAGCACTGATAGCTCAGATGTGAGCTCTCACCATTCCACACTCTACAAAGATAAACACGTGCTCTGCCCTGCATGTGACCATCAATTCCTTTCACCTTCATATTCTTTAAAGAGATGTAATCTCATGCGGGGAGAGATACCGTGCTCACAGCAAAGGTTACACTGGGCATACGCCCCATTATAAAACTCTGTAGACAGGCTCACAGGCAACGCTTTTGTTCTCTCCATTTGTTTTGGCTGGAGAGACGAACCTGAATTTCAGGTGGTGAACAATGAGATAAATATTTATAATACAATTTTCTAATATATATATTTTAATTTCACTCACATGCAAGAGTGATGTGGGGCCTTGAAAAAACTAGACCAATAGATTACCTCTTTCCTGGTATGTGTGTATTTTAGAGATGTGAATGTATTTTTTGCATACATACACACTCACACACACACATATATATATAACATGAGCTACACACATGAGCTGCACACTTGGCGACCAGGAATCAGGGGTACAATTAATAATAATACACCAAAAGAGAAGTAGACAGGAAGCTCTACCTTGACAACAAGAAGCAATTTTGCAACCTATACAGTGTCTCAAATAATTTCATAATCCTGTTTTGCTGGCTTGCTACATCCGCATGTGACTTGAATTGAAAGCTGTTGGATTCCTTGGAAACAGAAGAGTTGGGCTAGCTAGATGTGCTTACCTGAGATCCCAGAGTTGATTACAATCAAAGAGCTGGGCAGATCAGTAACGGGTTTACAATTGCTATACAGCTTCTTTCAAATTTGTACGAAAACTTTATTAAGTCTTTCATTCTTTAGTAAAAACGTTGAAGTTTGTTAGTTTTTGCTGAATGCAGACTTCATTTTTATATTAAACCAGATTTATTAAAAGGATACATATGCCCGGCAGCTGCTTTCATGTCCTGATGTTTAAATGTTTGAATCAGCACCCTGGAACCACCCTCCCACCCCATCCCGTCCTGTCCCATTCCAGCCCCTCCCAATCTCATCCCATCCTATCCTACCCCATCCCTTCCAAACCTATCTAATCCTGTCCCATCCCATTCTCCATTATTTTTTCAGTTGTTTAAAAAATACTATTCTATGAAGCTTCCCTAGGGATCCGCTTATGAAAAATGACAGACTGCCTTTGCTGATACTGCTGTTTGCGTCGTTTTCGTTTGTCACACTGGCACAGCAGTAACATCTTGAAAGTATTTCTGAACATTTTGTTACACAGTGCATAGCACACTGGGTTCACTGTGCTGTTGATGTAGCAAAGCCAGTACCCCAGGTTCCACACAGTTTTGGGGACACAGTTGCAAAAAGTGTTCACCAGAACCATGATGTTATAAGGAGTCCAGGTAATGATAAAGGCAAACAAAATGGCACTGAGTGTCTGTGCTGCTTTCTTTTCTTTGATAAGTGACATTCGTTTTCGCTTCGTGATTTGACTTCTGGTCTTCAAAGCAAATTTTTTTGCCAGAGTTGCTTCCTTGAAGGACAAAGGCAGGGCTGCAGATGTCTTGGTCATTGATGAGATGCCATCAGAAGCTGTAGCTGTCTCTGCTGACCCTGGCTGAATTGGAAGCTTTGAAAAACTCTTCTGGAAACTTCCACCATCCTGAATACTTCTGGGAGGTTGCAGTTTTTTAGGTTTCTTTTCCTGTGAGTCCGTGTCGGATTTCTGCAGTTCATCTGCTGACTCATTCAGATCTTCCGAGGAGGGCAACTTTGTGGAATTGAGGATGGCACTGTGACCAGGAAGCTTCAGCACAATTGAATAGATAGCTCTGGTCTCTGCTGTGATGTCCTCTTCATCAGATGAGGCTGAATTTTCAAGGGAGGCAGCAGCATCATTGTTGTTCCAGCTGTCACTGCTGCTGTGCTCTTGATCCCCCTGGTCTGTGTTGGGTTCCCAGCTCTTCATTGTGAGCCAGAAGTGGCAGCGCCTGTACTTCTTACGGCTGGAGCGCTTTGTGCTCTGCCGTTGCAGCTCATAGCTGCTGCAGCTCCGGGAGCTGCCAGTCTGGTGTACAAAGCGTGCTGTCTCTGCCTCACTGCCTGAAGCCTGTAGTCCCGCTAACTCTTTGGTGCGTTTCTCAGTCTCCTTGTAAATCCTCCAATACAAAATACTCATAATGGTGACTGGCAAATAAAAGGCAGCTATGGCAGTGCCAAAAGTGATGATAGGTTCACTTAGAAACTGGATGAAACATTCGTCAGGAGGCACAGTCCTCTTCCCAACGAAATACTGCCAGAACAAGATGGCAGGGGCCCAAAGAACAAAAGAGATGACCCATGCTAAACCAATCATTACTCCAGCCCTTTTAGTTGTTCGTTTGGCTCTGTATGTAAGCGGCCTAGTGATGGAAAAATACCTGTCAAAACTTATGACAAGGAGATTCATGACAGAGGCATTAGAGGCAACATAGTCAATGGAGAGCCAAAGATCACAGGCCAAGTTTCCCAAAGCCCAGTGGCCCATAATAATGTATGTGGTGAAAAGATTCATGGAAATAACACCGATGATCAAATCTGCACAAGCAAGACTCAACAAGAAGTAGTTGTTGACTGTTTTCAGTTGTTTGTTAACCTTAAATGAGACAATCACTAGGATGTTTCCTATGATGGTCACTAGTGCAACGATCCCAGTGAGGAAAGCAATCAAAACTACTTGCCAGACAGTGTGTCCACCCAGAGGGTCTTTGATTGTGGCATTTAGGGATGTGTTTGTTGATTCCACAGTGGAGAAGGGAAAGCTCTCTGTGGTCTGAGGAAAATCATAGCTGCCAATAAGCGATGCTCCTTCATCAAGTAGTCCTGGTCCATGGGAATCTCTCTTCCAGAAGGAGCTCACATTTGAAAACAGGGGCAAGGCCGAACTGCTATTGTGCATGATCATTGTGGCTCTCTGACATAGTCTACAATGGAGAGAAAAACAAAAAAAATCAAGTGAATGAGTGCAGGTGATAAATAAAAAAATTGTTCACATACTCATATACATAACCTTTAGCACTTTGAAAGATGTCTTCAAAAGCACAGTTGCCTGTGATACAGTCCAGGTCAAACACATACGTGATAGCATTCAGCTTACAGCTGTGAATAATCAAAGCTCTTTCTAGCAATCACACAGTGTTTTCTCAAAACCATTCAGTAGCAGAAGAGCCAAATTCCCAGGAGAATTTGAACCTTCGATAGCATTAAAATGTCCATAACTCTTAATTAAAATGCTTCCTACTGGAAGCATGGAACTCTGTATCTGAACAACCTGCTACCTTGGAGCCTTCAAAAACTAAATGCCAGACACATGTGGATACAAATTCTGTGAGGCTGAGTCACTGCTGGTCCCCAGAGCTCCCATGGCTCTAGCAAAATGATGCCTCAGACTGCAGTCTCCAGAAATAGCTAACATGCAACAAAAATATTTTTCCACCTTTCCTTAAATTACAGAGATACAGAGATTCAGCATGATTTAACTATATATCAAGCTACTATATGCCTACATTGCTACAAAATAAAAAGATCTTTTCTGCTATATTTCAGCAATCTGATAAGGGTACTAGAAGTTCTCACCACTGTTTTTTGTGCATGACACTTGTCATTTTGTATCTACATTTTTACACTTGGTTTAAGGATTTTACATGAATGTGTAATGACTTAAAAATGTCTTAGGGGCAATACGTTAAAATTTCCTTTGAAAGTATGGTCTCTAGAGTTGGGGAAAATGTTTAGCAGAAGTATGTCAAAGCACTTATTAAACACTTCAGAAAAAAAGAGGAAAAAAAGCATGAAAGGGATTCATAATTAAACTTTAATCCTTTTCCCTAAGTACTTATGTAAAATGAAGACATGTTCAGAATACGGATTTGGATTTCCCTTATTTCATTAACTTCTGTGGTCATCTGACTAGATCTGCTGTAATAAATCAATTATATCATCAAGCAGCAAGAATTTTGATGAGAAAATCCATTGCAGATGATAAATGTTGAACAAAATATGCTTTCAAAGGCAAACGTTTGTATTCTTACAGAATCGTTTCAGTCAATATATTATGACATTAGAAAATTATGAAAAGCAAAATGCACTGGCACTACAGAAAATATTTAAAGAAAAAGGGATGGTGTTTTTTTTTTTTTTTTGGTTCTGTATATATTTTGTTGTTCTTTGAAATGCACTTAGTTTTGTCAGCAAGCTGTATGAAGCTGTGATTTTAAACTGTATAGTTCCTCTTATATATGCATTAAAAAGAACAACAATTTGTTACTTTAGTTCAAGTACAGTAATTATATAAACCATATTTTGGTGTCAAGGACATAGTAACTTTTCTGATTTATTAATAAAAAGAAAATATTGCAATGTTACTGCAGAGTCTAATTCAATCTACATTGAAAGTGTTCATTATCATCATGACACATGTATAACAAAAATACAATACCAAAACATAATAACAAAATAATAACTGTACATATTGCTCTGGGAAACACAGAATTAAATTCAACTTCTTTCTAGATAGAAAGATGGAAGTTTGAAACTAAAATTATCTTTCATCAAAAAAGCTGACATTCCAAATCCAATTTTCATTGGAAAGGAAATGTGCACGCTTGCATGAAAATTCAGACAAACAGACGTTCTAAAAACTTGTCAATTTGTAAATGAAATTAAATCAGAATTTGGTTTTTGAATTTCTTTTCAACATTGAAATATTGTGGAATATTTCATAAAAAACTACATAGTATCCTAAAATGTCTTCTCAAGTGAAAACTATTTTCTGAAGGAAAATAGTGACATTTTTTCGCAGTTTGTTTATTGTTTGGAAAAAAAGACTGAGAAGATCTGAATTGGCTTCATAGGCTTCATAGGAAGGAAACAGTAAAAATGAAATAAAGAATTAACCATGTAACAGAAATAGCAACGGGCAACAGGCACTTATTTGTTTTTCATTAAGTGATTTTAAAAACCCAGGAAGTAAGAGCAAAAGCACAAGACTTTAACTAATCACAAAGATTACACTGCCATCACATAAAATGACAATTAAAACTTATGTGTTGTAAAAACGAATATTAATCTTTTAGCAAAATGTATTAAACTAATTAGAATTCCCCACATTCCCACTCTGATTTTCACAGACCTAGCTAAGAATAGAGAGTCTATCACTCTGCCTGTGTTAAATGTTGCAGTATAGGTGACTATCTTGACGCATATTTGGCTTTTCCTATGGCTGTCACCCACTTGGTCATGTCTGCTGATTTAAACTTTGTAGGCAATGTTTATACAGGATTTAGAACAATCAGAATAACAACTCCTACCAGCTTAAAGTAAGGTATACCAAATGTCATAACAGACAGCATTCAAAACATTGAAGATTGGTCCTGAGCTTGTACCTGCTGCATAAAAATGCATATTTTGCATCAAATACATAATTAATGCAGGACTTAGGGCATAACAGGATAAAGTGGGTGAGGAAAAGTGGCTCATGCAAGATGCTTGCAAACATGTGAGCGAGTAAGCAGGACAAAGGGAAAGGAAGGCACAAGAAAGATACTTGCCCAAGATGCTAGAAGAAACTCTTTGCTACTGTCATGGGAAATTGTTCCCTATAAATTAGAAGATGGTGCCAGGAAACACACTAATTTGTGGCATACTTAAATAGTCATTATGTTTTATATTTTGCTATACTTTTTATGCTTTGCATAAAACCTTAAGCTTGTTTTACTCTCCTACTGAAATTCACAAGAATGACTGTGTCTTGGGACCACTAAAATATGAGTTTTGAAACTGCAGTGCTATCAAAATACTCATGGAATGAGTAGTGCAAATTGCATGACTGTGTTCAAACACCATACACCTCTCCTTGAAAGAACTCTGTTTTTTAATGAAGTGAAGTGGCTATCAGTTTTAAAGTCAGCTCAGGATTTGCTCTACATTTAACAACAGGTGACTATTTGTTTTTCAAAATTAATAATTTAGTTCACAAAGAAAGTATTTACCAGCTTGGGTTTCAGCATCATTAGACATACAGCTAATACAAAAATGAAATCATGAAGATGGTTCTATAAGGTGAATTGCACTGAGGTCTATTTTAGAAAGTAGCTATAGAGAAATGAACAAGAACATGCCCCATCCTTGTAGACATTCAAGGTCAATCTGGATGGGTCTCCAAGCAACCTGATAAAGTCCTTGTTTCTTGCAGGGGAGCTGGACGAGATGATCTTTTTAAGACCCTTCTAACTCAGATTATTCTATGATTCTACAATTGTAGGATATCTAAAACAAAGAGCAGCATTATGCACGTTTCCAAGAACTATCCATACGCAAGTTTTTGAAAGGAAGGTGTAGAAAAATAACACTAGATAAAAAGTACACTACGGCATGTGAATGATTCTCTGAGGCCCGATCCATCTGTACTGTTATGTGATATCTATGTGGTCATCTTTTTTCTTTATTCTCAATCAAAAATTTCCACACTTGTCAGACTGCTTTTCACAAGCAAATCCACACAAACTTTTCTGAAACTATTTTACCATGTTCTTGCCATCTATTAGAAAAGGTGTGAGACACAACATACTTCTTTGCTTCCTCAAGAAGCACTCTGCTTATGGTTTTGGAGCTGGTATAATTCAGGCCACTAAACATAATGTGTTCTACCTTATCCTTATCCTGCTGCTTCAATGACGGTGAACAAGTCAAATTTGCAGTGTCAAACAGACTCATCCCACCTATTATAAAGAGTGAAAGTCTGCAGAAGGCCATTTGCAAAAAGGCAGAAAGAGGTCTGGATGAGAAGCACACTCTTGCTTTTCATTCACTCCTCCTCCAGTACCCTCATACCTGCTCAAAACACCTTGACCAAGGAAGTTATTGACTGTCATGTAGAATGGCTAGAAAAATGGAGATCTCAAATACTCAGGAATTATAAAACAAAGTATGTGTAAACTCAATGTTCAATAATATATTCTCCTTTGAAGGAGGCACTGAAGCATAATTTAAGTTCACCTAGCTGCTTTCAATGCACAGGTGAAACAAAAACACAGCTCACTTGTGAGCAATCACTTGAACAAACAATGGCAATGTTCTTGCCAATTATTTATGGGTCAGTGTGGATGAGAAATAGAATCAGTGTAAAGTATTCTTGCAGTGTTTTACATAGGAACTAGGCATATTTTCTACAGCTGTCAGAGAGGATGAAGTCACAACAATATATGTATAATAATATACACAATATATATGTATACAATATAAGTATGGCAGAGAGCTGAGTTATTATATTTGCCAAATATATTCTAGAAATAATTAATTTTATAGAGTGCAGACACTTTCACTGACACTGGGGCAGTGAGCATAGGATAAAGGCCATTAAGCATGCCCTCAACACACATACATGGATAAAAACTCTACAAGGTACATCCAACATAATCAAGTATTGATTGAGAAGCCTGAAAGATAATTTTTGATGATGATAATATTTAATTGCTTTTTCAAGTAAAGCAACGCAAGCTAGTATCTTGTAATAGATGAGAAAGGACCTGGGAGAAGATGTTGACAAAGGAATAAAGGAAACAAAGCTTTCATTAAAGAATAAAGATTAAAAAAATGGTATCCCTTAGAGCTGATGGTAGAAATAGCAGTATTACTAAGAAATAGCAATAAAATTGTTGACAATTCAGTAGCGCTTCACATTTTCAATACGTAATAAAATCATAAACAAACCTAAGTGTTATTGTTGGAAGTCCAAGACAGCTGCAGTTTGCAAATAAATTTGGAAAACTAATGTATAAATGCACTATCTATCACTATATCCACTAAAACAATTGAGAATTCTGTTTAACTGCAGAAACTGAAATGCAGTATCAATGTAAATTAGCTAATAAATACTTTCAGAAATATCAAGTCACTATGAGGAAACCTGGGAAAACCTTACTTC